GGAGCGATAGGTTAAGGCCAAGGCTCGGGGAAAGGGAGGCCGAGTCTGGGCCCGCGGGCCCCGCCTTTCGCTCCGACCTGGGAGCCTCGCTTCGCCCCGGGGTCGACGCCCACCCCGCGCATGCGCACAGCTTACCTAGTGGCCCAGAAATCGTCTGCTGAGAGGAGTTCAGTTCTGCTAGACATCGGGGCAACGCCAGCGCTTAGCTTTTTGGTGAAGAGTTGCGGAAGAATTATTTCCTGCACGTCTACCGTGTAAGTCCTGGGCAGATGAAGTTGATGTTTTAGTGACGGAGACAAAGTCATTGTTCGTATGTGGAAAGTGAATAGGCAGGTGATCCAGAGTAGTGGAGGCTGCTCCGCGGTCTCTCTACTTCTTCCCTTTTGCTATATTTCTCTGCGTCCGCCCCATTCACCTTTATCTCTCCCCTCTTGCCCACCCTAGCGTGTCAGGTTGTTGTAATTTTCGGAAAATGAAGTGACAGAAAGTCACTCTCAGTCTCGAAACATCCGGAACATAAACCTATCGTCAAATGTGATTCATAAACCTTTCTAATTCTGTTCTTTTTCTCGAGACTTAGTAAGAGAATGAGGGTAATTACGTTGTGGTTCGCTTGCCAATCTGTAAACCTTACTTTCATTCCAAAAGCTGCATGGGAAATGTGTGTACCTTGAACGTGTGCATAGTGTGAGGAGAGGTTCCCAGTTGTATCTGACTTGGAGAGAAGTTTATGATTTTTAAAAAGATTGTAAGGGCTGGGGATGTGGCACCCCAGTGGCACCGCGCCTGTTTCACAAGTGCAAGGTCCTGAGTTTGATCCCTGGTACCAGAAATAAATAAGTAAGTTAGGTTATAATTGAGTGTGAATCTTGATTCCTGATAGGATCCAGGCTTCCTGATTGCAGGTTATCACGGTGCTCACTCTCCCTACCCATCACTTCTAGATCCTGTTTAGCTTCTTGTGGCCCTGTGTAGTGATAAAAGGAAGACCTTGTAACAAAAAGAAGAAATCATTTTGGGCCGATTTTGAGAAAACATCTTACATGTTCTCACTTAAAGGATGAAATTCGAATATTTGATGGGAGAAATTTACAGACTAGTTTATGTAGGACTATATACTGTGGACTCCAGAACACAGAACCTGAAGAGAAGTGTGAAGTGTTAAGTCTTCAGTTACTTTATTTTATTTATTTATTTTATTTTTTTTTTGAGGCAGGGTCTCACTATATAGTTGAGACTGACTTGGAACTCACTACCCAGGCTGGTCTCGAACTCACAGTGATCCTCCTGCCTCAGTCTCCCGAGTGCTGGGATTACAGATGTGCCACCATGACCGGCCCTGTCTTCAGTTATTTTAGTTGGGAGCTGCATCACTGCCATAAAATATTTCTTGTCTTCTAGTTAAAATATACTCATCTTTGGCTACCTACCTTCTGCCTGCAAGACTACAGAAATGGAAGACAGCAGATATCAGGAAGTATCACATCAGGATCTTAATCAGGTGGTTCTCTCTGATTCAGTAAATATTTCTGAAGTATTTACTCTTGTTTCTAGTTGTTTATTTCCTCATAATGAAGCACTGAACCATTCAGCTTCACACAGCACTTTTTGTCATGACTCAGTAGGACAGCTCTTCGTGGTCCCTTGGCCGGGGTCGCTCATGGTGGCACATTGACCTGGCGCTCAGGTGGGGCTGCAGTATCCAAGACGGCTTTGTGCGGCTACATTCACTAAGACTCAGCTCTCCGTAGGACCTCTCCCTGGCAGACACACAGGGACTTATATCTTGGCTCACAGATCTCTTGAGGCTTCACTTCAGAACTTATACACCATCACTTCATAGCATTCTGCTGGTCCATGGATCCCAGGGTGACCCAGACTCAGAGAGAAGGTAAATGGACTCCACTGCGTGAGTGTGAGTGTGTGTGTGTCTGTAACTAGAGATTGAACCTAGGGCTCTGCTTGGCTTTCCAGCAGCAGATCCTTTTGAAGATTTGGCTTTATTCTGTAACCTCTGAAGAACAGCACATGGACCACAGACTAGGACTGAACAAGAAGGTCTAGGACATCCTGGAGCATTTCTATGCATTTCAAAATAAAAACCGACTTATTCTAGTGGCATCCAGTTATTCAGTTTAGCTTTCAGGGCCTTTGTTAGGAGATGGTCTTTACAGGGCCCACGTGGGGAGGCTCTTCAGAGGAACGCAAGGGACGGAGGCTTAAAGGGTGGCCTCAGCCTTTCAGTTTTAGGAAAGCTAGTATTTGGCCATACCAAGGTTAAAATACTCAAGTGACACATGCTGCAAAGGAGGCAAGAATATATAGAGCCCATAATTAAACCAAAGAGGTAAAAATTTAAAAAACGTGACAACAAAGCCACTCTACTCATAGCTCTGGGGAAGCTGGTCGTGGGGGCTTTGGCCAGAGGTCTGTGTTAGGTAGAGATGCAGAGATAAGGGACATCTGGGGCCACAAGCCCAAAAGCTCCTGGAATGCATGGCTAAAGATTAAAAGCCTGTGACAGTGACCCCCAACAGGGAAAGAGCCCAAGAGGCGTTACTCACTCGGTAGGCAGGCAGTACAGACGGAAGATCATTTCTTTCCTACTCCAGATAAATCTCTGCTTCAGCTGTCAAAGTCTCCGAGGATGAAGATGATAGAACTCCACTGATGGAAGAGGGCAGAGGAGAGCCCAGAGTAACATGGAGCCACAGGCTGGCTGCGGGCTGGTGAGGATTTGGCAAGGGTGTAGACCAGTCATGATGAACCCATAGCACACGTGCTGCACCAGGCTGTTTGTATCATTGAAAGCTCTAAAATGTTCACCATCACTGGTGTAGATGAACAAGTAAGGAAAGGTCCAGGGAAGAAGGAAGGTGCACCTTGATTTCCAATCTCCAGGGCACCGCCAGTTGCACCAGGCCCTGGTGTCAAGATGTCCAGGCTCACAGTGATGTTCACAATGAAAACGAGGAGTACAGGCAGGCCTCAGGAGGGCCTTGATCCTAGCAACAGATGAGGCCTCAGGCCTCAGGGAAGTTGGGCTGACATTCGCTGCTTCTGCTCTCCTGCGGTCGTTTGAGTATTAGGACACATTACTCCTAAGGCTGCTTTTCATGTTTGTGGGTCTGCTTAGTCCCAGCTACTCGGTACAAACAAAGCAGTTGTTTTTCTGGGAATGCCTTTGGCGGGAGGAGCCCCACACATACTTTTGGCTCCCTTCCAGCTGTCTCCCCTCTTTGCCTATGTTATCATGTCCTATCTGTCTTTACAGTGGGACTGTTTCTCCTGGCCAGCAACTGCTGCTGTAATTCGTGCTGGATCTTTTCACCCTGCCAGGACCTGAGGACCTGGCAAGGCAAATGCAGGGCCTAACTCCCCAGGCGATACTTTTACCCTGCCAGGGCTGCTCAAGCCTTGCAGCAGTTGGGCTGCATCATGCCCCGTGGCCTTCTGGGAGATACTTGCTCTGCCTCAGCAATCTTCAGTCATGGACCTAACACACAGGATTCTGTCCTGGTGTCTCCCCGGATGACTCCTGCATCCAGGAGTCCTGGTGTCCTGTTGTCCTCCTCTGGGTGACTGCCCCTCTGTAGCCCTCCTCAGTCTGGTCTGCAAAGGGCCATTCCCCTCCCCAAACCCACACAGAAAGTCTTACACTGTGCAGCTGAGTACTCCTAGTGGGTTCAGCCTGAGAGCTGTTCCCCCTTGTGCTACAGCAGAAGTCTTAATAAAACCTCACCCACGTGGCCTGTTCACCCCTACTTGTGATTTCTGTTGAGCAGAGCGTGCTAAGCTGGTGCCCAAAGCCACCAGCAGCTGGGGTTGGTAACACTGAATGGGGCAGACAGAGGAGCTGCTGTCTCCAGTGACCAGCGGAGTTCCCCTGATCTGACAGCAGCTGCTGGCTGTGCTTCATGGGCCCTTTCCCTGTGGTGAGGCTTCCCCAGGGCTGCAGTCAGAGCAGCCTCATTGTCTTCTGAATTTTCTTCCCCTTTTGTTGAAATAGTCTTATGCATTCTCACCTAACATTTGCAGGTGAAACAACCTCACTGTGGCAGGTAGTATCTTTCCAATTCTAAAAGGCTGTTGCCAGCGCTTAACCCTCTGTGTTCCTCGAAATAGCTTTAACATGGGCTGGGGATTTAGCTCAGCAGTTCTACCATCTGCCTCGCAAGCGCAAGATCCCAAGTTCAATCCCTGGTACAAAAAAAAAAAAAAAAGAAAGAAAGAAATAGCTTTAACATGAGTGCTTTTGTGAAGACCACTTGATAACAAGGCACTTTGGATCCCGGACAAGATACAGCCAGGATACTCAGGGTTTTTTCTTTTTTTGGGGGGTACTGGGGATTGAACTCGGGTCCTTGCGCTTGCGAGGCAGGCCACCAAACTGCTGAGCTAAATCCCTGGCCCACTCAGGGTTTTTTCAATCCCCACTGCTAAGGATCAAACCCAGGGCCTCATGCATGCTGGCTCAGCTGTCTACCATTGGGTGACATCCCAAGTATTCTTTTTATTTCACTCATTCATTCACTTTGAGACACAATCTTGCTGAGTCACCTGGGCTGGCCTCCCACCTCTGATCCTGCTCCCTCAACCTCATGAGTAGCAGGAATTGCAGTCGTGTATCCCATGTCCGGCCAGAATGGGTAATTTTGAAAGTGGTAAAGGAAATGAAGTGTCCACTCTACATTTTCATCGGCATTTGTGCCAGTAGGAAACCTTTCAGTATATGACAGTTGGCAAGGAGGAGAAACGAAGTTATGTTAATTTGGCAGTGACGAAATAAATAGCTCTCACTACGATGTTTCCAGTTTGTTGGTCTCTTTGTTTTTCACTCCAGTCTGCTGCTTGATTCCTTGTGGACACTGCATGGGGTTATGGTGACTGAAGTAAGTTCCAAATGGCTGGGCCTGGGGGGCTGCCTGTCCAGGCTAGGCAACTTAGCAACTTGGTGAGACCCTATTTCAAAATAAAGAAGAAAGAACTGGGGATATGGCTCAGTGCAAGGGCTTAGAGTTCGATCTCTGGCGCTACAAATAGTAAATAAATAAGCCTGGTGTAATGGTATATGCCTGTAATCCCAGCAGTCTGGGAAGCTGAGGCAGGAGGATCCCAAGTTCAAGCCCAGCCTTAAGCCCAGCACCTTAGTCTTGACAACAACAAAAAAGTAGCTCAGTGTGAAGCCTTTGACTTCAACCTGAGTACCAGAAAAAATAAAAATAGAAAAAGAAGGAAAAAAGAATAAGAAGTC